AGATAACTAATTATTTAATAATAAAAAGAAACATAAAATAGATAGGAAATAAATAGGAAATAAACAAACTAATAAACTAGATACGAAGCCGGTCGAACTTGTCCAAGAAAGTCATCGCGGCTTCATCTCCATCAGATATCAATCGTTGGGACCAACAACTCAAAACTTAGTCCTCTATCAAACCCAAGATACAATCCCAAATATTGGAGTTCCATTCTAAAACCTGACAATAGATGGAGTAGTCCACTAAGCTTATATATTAGACTTGAAACCTTTAATTTTCTAATGTGGGATTGAGTTTGCACATCCAACATTACCTTGGCTTGTAAGTAAATTCTAATAAGTTAATCTATATCTGTATTCGGTACATATTGAAATAGGTTGATGGAATAATCTAAGATAGTTAGTTTGACTTTGTAATTAAATAAGGTGACTTACTATTAAAGGAAATATAGTAAAAATTACTTTAATATTTATAAAAAAATATAAATTAAACTCTACATACTTGTTGTATATCGCGCAATCCGGTTGATATTACGAGCAATATACGAAAAATCATCTATTGAATGGGTTCAAAAATATTATTTGATTTTATCAATAACTGCACCGAATCCATTTCTAAAAATTCATGTTGCGATTCACAATATCACAAATCTCATATAAATTATTATATCATAAAGAAAAAATAAATATTTCTTAAGTTCAAAATAATATATATTATAATTTTTTTTAATTAATCGTTGATTATAATATTTGCCACAATTTTTCAAATTTAGTCTAACTTATTTAGAATCAAAATAATATATGTAACAAGGTATGAGTAAGAGAAGATAGAGGGAGAGAAGTATCATGAAATTAATAATATTTGAATATGTGAAATTTTCATTATCTTTAATTGTAAATATGATTTAAAATGACAACTATTTTACAACAGTGAAATAAACATATAAAACATATACTAAATAATTACATATCGTAAAATAAAATAAAAAAATAATTATTAATATTCAGAAATATTTTTTTATTAATTATTACATACAAAATGATTGTCTCGTGCATGGGACATGCTACCTAATTATTTTCACTACACACGAAGTGTGATAATTCATTCAATTCATGTTGTGAATTTGTGATTTTGATATGCAAACTTTGAGAATGGAAAATGAGTGGTTGTTTATTTTTGGTAAAGTAAATTTGTATATGCCTTTTGGAATGTTAATTTATGTGTGGTAGTATGCACTTAAAAACAAACGAGTCTCATATAGGCCATATATTTTGTTAGTTTCGAAAGTATAAAATTCTGAATATTTTTTATTTTTATTTTTTCTTAAAATGAGCTTCAATTTTGGGCTACATAAAAAAATTCAAAATATTTGTATATTACTAAAGAGAAGAAGTTCTATGAGTAGACATATTAATATTTTCCCACCAAATATTATTACGCTATTTTGAAAATTATGTGCTTTTTGTTAAAAATCAAAACTTTTAAGAAATATTTTGACATTTTTAATTCATAGGAGATACATAAATAAAAATATAGTGATATTAGATCCAAATTACTATAAATCAATTATACATTAGATTATAGACAAAAATCCAATTTTGGTCCGCTAACTTGTCCATTGTCCACTTTTGGTACACTATATTTCACCTCGTAAAAATTGGTCCATTATATTACACTTTTTATCAGTTTTAATATACTAATCCCGTAGCTCGGGAGTACGACATGCCAAATCAGGTTTTTATCCTACCACATCAATATCTATCCCTCCACGTAGTTCCAATCGCGGTCCACGTCATCTCGTATTCCCGCCAACTGGAGTAGTGTACTAAAACTGATGAAAAGTGTAACATAATGGACTATTTTTGATGAGATGAAAGATAGTGTACTAAAAGTGGACAATGAACAAGTTAGCGGATCAAAATTGAATTTTTTCTTTAGATTATATTAAAAAATATAAATAGAAAATGTATGGGCTGAGATTGGGCCGGGCCGCTGACCACCCCCCACTGCACTGGCCTGTTAATATCAATAGAAAAATGTATGGGCCGTTGTGTCATCGTTCCCATCTTGCGCGCGCTCACACACAGACGCACGACCAAATATTTTCGTCTGAGATGGGAGAAAAGGGGAAAAATCTGGTGTTGCTCGGAGCAGGAGCTCTGCTGGGTTCTACTGCTACAGTTGCTATCTTCAAGCTTCTAAAGGCCAGGTAGCTCTGCACCACCAAATCCCCTTAGTCGTTTTCTGTCTTTTATTTTTTCGTCCATTGTTTTTACTTCTTCCATGGAGATTAATTCGTGAATAGCAAAAAGAGATGGCGTGAATTGAAATTTATGTTAGCTGTATGCTTGAATCTTGATAGTTCATTTTTTTTTTTCCTCGATTATTTTTTGCAGGCGGGGTGGAAGAAAATGTACTGTTGTGGAGACGAATGAATTGAACAGTATGGAGGCTGAATCGTGCAGTATGTGTTTACCTTGTTCTTTATTGTGTTTTTACTGAATGCGATGGTGTGGCATATGGTATGTTCAAAAGGACTTGTTGTTTTGTGAAAGTCAGTTTGATGTCGCTTAAGCAAGGTCTCGGGTTCGAGTCCTTGTGAATGCAGAAAACCCTTGTTGGGAGACTCATCCACCATTGCCAGGTGTGCGACCCGGGTCGACCAACGGATTAGTCGGGGCAAAAGCTCCGATACCGTGGCTGGCTACCAAAAAAAACATAGGTTGGAGGACGATGATTTCGTTTCTCTTAAAATGTTGGGTCAGTTATGGCTTAGACACTTTACGGAGATATTTTTTGTATTTAGGATGGGATTGGAGTCGTTGTGGCATGTCTGATTAGTCATTTTTGTATGTAATGATGTAAACTACACACGTCGCAAGTGTGATCACTATAATATGGTAATGTTATGTTGCTAATGCACTATTTAAAAAATTATACTTATGATATGCAACACGGTTTTGTCGAACTTTGTAAATGCGTTGGTAAAATTGTTTTACTTTTAAATATATGGTGAACCTTTTTCCATTGATTACTATGTCTACAGTGGATGTGCAGTTAGGTATATGTGCAGGAGTATTTGTTTACCTAGGCAGCTGAAACCTCGAGTTGTTACTCAAAAGTAAATATATACTCATAGTAAATGAATTCTCTATCGGTTTGTTGACTGTTGTTTCATGGGTATCTTTTTTTATGAATCATTGATATGCATACTTTGTTCTTGATGCAGACCGTACGTTTTTGGAGGATGTGAACCATGGACTTGCAGGTCCTGACCTGCTAATTGATGAAATTGTTTCTGAACAATTAACAAGGTGAGGTAATGTTCTATCAGTGGTGAGAATGATTATTGATACCTCCCACTTCTCACGTCGAGTGTTAAGAGTAGCTATTTTGAATTCATGTATTCAGAAAGTACCAAATCTCCCGAATTAGGATTGAAAGAATACAAAATAAACCATGGAGGGAATCCCTGATACTAATATTCAACAGGATCCTTTTGCTTCTATTCTAAAATGTTATATTGGCGCTTATGATGTTTTATAATTTTTTTTAGTGTTGAAATACATGAAGAATACCAGTTGGATGATAAGATCTTGACTGCTTTTGCTGCTTAAAAGTTGTATAAATATTATATTTTGTTTCATAAAATTAATTTGAAGGAAAAGCGACCTCTTGAGTGTTCAGTTTTGTTTGGCAATTAAGTACTTTTATGTTTAAACTTCATGACAATTGATTTTGTCATCAGGAACATTCAGTTCTTTGGCTTGGAAAACCAGAAAAAAGTGGTTTCTTCGTATGTTGTGGTAATTGGTCTTGGGGGAGTTGGAAGCCATGCCGCATCTATGCTTTTGAGGTCTGGTGTTGGCAAGCTTCTACTTGTCGATTTTGATCAGGTATTTTAACCAGGCATTGGAAACACCACTTCTCGTCCAACTTGCATGTGTTGAGGATGCCACCAGCATGCATCCTAAAACTTTAAATAAAATCCTTTTAGATGCCACTATCCTAAAGTGTTCATTTTAAATGCATTCTTCTCTTCTCTCTTTCTATCATCTGCCTAAGAAAGACTCGTGAGAACTGAAGAAACAGTTTCAGTATTGGGAAGTGTGTCGTATTTAAGAATTGATCAATCAATCAATCAGCAAGCTTTAAAATTCCATTGCTGGGGATAGAGTCAATTTAGTGGGAACACTTCAGTATCATGTTAACGAAGAGGAGCCTATTTTGATAAGAACTTAGGGTGTTTTTGGTATTTTAAGGGGAATGAGAATCAGTTTGAATATAACAGTTGTAGGGAATGGTACTGAAAGTATTGACTCTAGTTGTGGTGGTTGGATAGTTATAATAAATTACTATAATTACCATTGTTGGGGGTTAGTTTATGGGATGTAAAAGTTAAAACCATAACCATCTATCATGCCCCCATATTTGGGGGAGATGGACCCCTTTCAAGATATCAAACCGAAAACACTACAATTCAAATATATGAGCACTTTGTTAATGCTGCATATGAGCTGGTCACTTGTCATTTTATTTTGTTGAAGTTTCTGAAGTTTATTATGAACTAAACATTATTTGCTTAAACTTCCAGTTTTTTTTTTTATTTTTTATTTTTTTTTTGATTGATGATGTTTGTTAATTGTTCGTGAAGGTCTCAGTTTCGTCATTGAATAGACATGCTGTTGCAACCAGAGAGGATGTTGGTATCCCGAAAGCCCTGTGTCTGAAGAAGCATTTCTCTACAATTTTCCCGGAGTGCCATGTAGATGCAAAAGTGTTACTGTATGATTCGTCTTCTGAAGATGAAATTCTGTCTGGGAACCCTGATTTTGTCCTAGATTGCATTGATAACATAGATACAAAGGTAGAATAACTGCAAATTCTCTTGAGCCTCTATGCATCTTCGTCACACACTCAGATATAAGTAGAAAATGATCTTGGTTATATTGTTTTAATAAATATCCTAATAAGGTATACCTTTTATTTGTATCGTATTAAATTTTATTTTGTATCTTTGGGCTCTATACTTAATAAGTTATTGCTTCTTCTTTTATTTTAATATTGTCCTTTTAAATGTATTGTACTTATGACAAAAATTAGAAGGCAGATTTGTGCAGAGGAATGAATGAAATCCGAAAACTCATCAATTTTTACAGATTTTTTGTGAAATGCATATTCCAGATATCTGAATAGTTAACAATCTATTCTACACAAAAAAAATAAAAAAAATAAAATTATTCCAGACTGATAATGTGAAGTTTCCAAATTTGTTGTTCACCATGGCTTGCAGGTTGCTCTTCTTGCTGCCTGTGTAAGGAGGGGTTTAAAAGTTCTGTCTGCAACAGGAGCTGGGGCAAGGGCTGATCCAACAAGAATCCGTGTGGCTGACATAAGAGAATCAACCAATGATCCACTCTCTCGTTCGGTACGAGTTTATCTGATAATTTTCAAAAGATTTTTATCATCTCTATAATTTTAAGAACTGTGTTGCTGTATCAAGTTGGGTGTAATTTTGGGTTAGTTTCTAATAGTGCAAAAGAAGCTCTTTTGCCAGCTGCTCATATTCAAGATTGTGTCTCAGCCATCAATAAGCTAATAGGCTGATCAGTGCACTGAACTTGGATTGCCACAATTTACTTCATGCACAACTTAAATGATTATACATCATCAACATCAACATACCCAGTATATTCCCAACAGGTTGGGGTCTGGGGGGTCAGTTATACGCAGACCTTACCCTTGTATAATTACAAGGAGGCTGTTTCCATAGCGACCCAAGGTGCGTTGCGTCGTTTGATATATTTTATTCTAGAAACTTCACTAATAGAAGAAACACTAGAATTTAATTGAGTCATTTTGATGTAGTCCATTATTAGCACTATGCCAGGAGACAGGGGCGAAGCCAGAAAATTCGTTGAGAGGGGGCAAAAGACATAACATAATAGGTTCAAAATCGAACCCTAATGGGTTTAGAACCGATACCGAACTGATAACATTTCGGTAACCTGTTTTCGGTTTACCGTATTACACATAAGTCGGTTCGGTTTATTTTCTCATCGGTTCGGTCAGTTTTCAGAATAAAAATACCAGCCCTAACAATAAAAGAGAGTTGAAGTCTTTTATATGAACCAATTAAAATTATAGAATGATAATAATTGATATACAAAATTAATAGTAAAATAAAAAAAGTGTTGAATTGTTAATTGATAATAATTGTGGACAAGTTGTCCTTGTGAGTGACGTTTAAAAACAAAGAATTTAGGAGTGCAAAAATAAATTTTACTTGTTCTTGTAAGTGAAGTTTAAGAACAAAAAAATTTGGGGGTGCAAAATTAAATTTAAAGGGGGGAACAAATTAATTTTTTAATATTAATAGTAAAAAAATTAAAATTTGAGGGGGGGCAATTGCCCCCCTACTCATACATCTAAATTCGCCCCTGCCAGGAGAATAGGAAAATTGTCAACAATGACTCTTCCAGCTCCATATGCCATGGACATAACTTATATGATTATAATAATTATAAATGTTGTGTGCATCATGAGGTGTTAATTGAGTAGCTGAAACCCTATTTTGAATATTGGAAGTTAGAGCCACCTTAGAAATTCACGAATATAGATTTATGAATATCATGTAACTGTGATGTGATACATGTCAATCAATGTTATGTTTGTACTTATATTGTAGATTAGTTTATGATTCTGTAGCTACATCATGGTAATTTGTCAAATAATTAATATATAATAGGAGAAGTTCCTTTATTTGTTGCATTTTTGGTGCTAGATGTTGTATGCTTCCATCTATTACTTATTATTTAGCACGGAAAGTGCCAAATATTTCTGTTGCTTGGTTGACTTATGGGCATAAAATTTCTTTGAATTGGCCGTATGCAGCCAAGCTGACCTCTAAGTAATATCAATTGTCAGGTCAGACACCGTTTGCGGAAAGATTACGCCATTGATGGCGGTATCCCTGTAGTTTTCTCATTGGAGAAACCCAAGGCGAAACTGCTTCCTTTCAAAGGCCCAAGTGGAAAAGAAGAAAATCCTTCGGATTATCAAGTAAGCACAATTAAATTTTTCATGGAACATTGACGACTATTCTTGTCTAGAACTAGTAGTGTTCATGAATTTTCAAATCTTTCGGAACATATTCTGTTACCCACTAAGATGGGTTACTTTGACTAAGGCTGAAGAGCGAACTTTATGCTTTCCAAATTAAGCTGTTAACTGTTAAGTTTATTCTTCTCAGGTCATAAAAAAAAAGTAATCATTCATTAAGGTTGATTGTTAGATTGTTCCAGGTTTTCGAGTTCGAATCATTCCAGTCCTTGGAACCATTCCAGCAATTTTTGGACAAATCATGGCTTCATATGTTGTAACTCAACTGGCGGGAATGCAAGTTCACATGGAACCAGTTGTTAATTTTGATATGGACCATTATCATGTCCTCCATCAGCGGCTCATTGAGCATGAGGAGTTGCAATATGGTACAGCAATGCATGTTGAGGTACTCAGTTGTCGATTTTCTCATTGCATTCTGGAACATCCTCGTGGGCTTATGAATTGCAGAAAATGCTTTGTGATCAATCTTCCATACATGCATTTTTGTCATTTTATCAGATATGATTCATGATGTTTTACACATGTAGGTTGATGTTGAGGAAGTTATGTATGTTGCCAAAGAGTTGTGGCACTGCCGAAGTGCGAGAGACCAATTGCCCAAAGATGGACGTGGAATGTGGCGTTCGGTCAATGAGTTAATGCTTGTCAGGTATGAATTGTTTGTTTGAAGATTTAGTTGTATAAAAAGAAAAATTAGTTTGTAGAGAGAGAGAGAGAGAGAGAGAGAGAGAGAGAGAGAGAGAGAGAGAGAGAGAGAGAGATTTGGTCAAATATCTTTGCATGTGGTATTATAAATTTAATGGAAGTTGTATAAATCTCTCTGGTAAATAAATGTTTTCTTTTTTTTCTTTTTTTGACATATTCTAATGCTTCTGATCCACCATACCATTCAGATGGGACAGCACAAAGCCAGCTTCTGTCTCAAATCTAATTCTCCTAAAATTTGCAGAGGTATGAATTTGACCGAGTTCTGTAGTGTAATGGAGATGGTCTCTTTGAGCAGCTACACTTTTAAGATCACATTGCATATTTGTTGATTTTAAATTTGAAGTCTTGTATCCTGATAATTTATTAGATACTCATAGGATGGCAAAGATTAGGTTTTCAGATGATGCTCTTTTGCAATAAAAGTTAGTAGTAGCTGATGTAAAACTAGTCTTTATGATCCCAAAGTTTGAGGTAATATTTTATCGATACAATCATCATTAGGAATCAGAAGGCTATTCAGTCTTTCATCAACATCAACATCAACATACCCAGTATATTCCCAACAGGTTGGGGTCTGGGGGGTCAGTTGTACGCAGACCTTACCCTTGTAATTATACAAGGAGGTTGTTTCCATAACGACCCAAGGTGCGTTGCGTCGTTTGATATATTTTTTTTCTAGAAACTTCACTAATAGAAGAAACACTAGAATTTAATTGAGCCATTTTGATCTAGTCCATTATTAGCACTATGCCAGGAGAATTGTCAACAATGACTCTTCCAGCTCCATATGCAATGGACATACTATTCAGTCTTTATATAAAATAAATCATACATGAACATGATTTTAAATATAAAATAAATCATACATGAACATGTTTTTAGAATCGATGCTGTACTATTTCATATCGATCTTAAATGTATCATACTATTTGAGTATTGGGATCAGTCTAGCTCATGCTATATATGCAAGAGAAAAATGAGATCTGTAGTCCTTAAGAAAAATGACTCTTTCTTTCACAGGCTGACGAACATGAATCAAGGTCACTGGAAGATATAAGGGAAAAAGAAGCTGAATTCTATGCCAGGGTAACATCTGTGCTCAGACGAGCGGAACTCGATTTTGGGTTATGATACTGAAAGTATGCCCGAAACGTTCTCTTCCTTCAGCTGCTTTAACTGTTCTAAGTCACGTTGAAAATGAACCTGAGGTCTGCTTGTCTATCAAGAGTTAAGTTGATTTTGGGTTTCAGATATGGTGTTTGAGAGAAACCAACAATTAGGAAACAAACAAATTGCAGATGAAACGAGTTCAACCCAGGAGACACCACAATTAATTACATCAGAGCCAAAAGAAGAAAGACTCACAAAGAAGATTATATAGCTATGTTGTTATAAAAAAAATAAAAAAAAAATAAAAATAAAAAAATACCCGAGCATGTTTTAAACTTTGGTAGAATGTTTTTAACTGTTGTTGTTTTTGGAAGTTAATAATTTGTTGCAAGTCGGGTGATGTTAGGGTTTGGTGTTTTGAGAAATTAATTTTGTTTTCTCCAGTGTGTGTGTCGTGTGCTGCAGAAGACAAAGATATTAAATGATTTATTACCATCAGCATGTTCCTTTAAACCCAAAAAAACTGGTTTGAATAATTCATTTTCCACATATTTTAATTAGTATTGTTTACTGAACTATTAGGGCCGGCTGATTAAACAATTAATATATTATCTCGCTAATATTGTAGAGCTAATTTGTAAGTTAATCAATTTTATTATATTAATACATTTATACTAATATAAATTTGGTTTCAGTACATATATTTATTTTGTAAGTTAATCAATTTTATTATATTAATACATTTATACTAATATAAATTTGATTTCAGTACATATATTTATTTTTCTTCTCGGTTCTTTTTCCATATCCCAAGTTCTGAGAAGGAAGAGATAAGAGAGCCCTATCGGAGAATGTGGTCAGAAACCCATAATAAAATCCGACCACACTGATTGAATTGCTTATCTTGATGCATAAGGGTACTAAATTACCTGGTAGAAAAGATTGAAAAATCACGAGAACTTCTTCTGGTCTAGTCATATTAAAAATTTGATTTTGGTACATATATTTATTTTTTACTACAACAACAACAACATACCCAATATATTTCCAACTGGTTGGGGTCTGGAGGTCAGTTGTACGCAGACCTTACCTTGTAATTATACAAGGAGACTGTTTTCGTAGGGACCCAAGATGCTAAAATAAGAAAAATATAATTTTACTTATTCTTGCCCAACATATAATACTCAATTGTTATTTCAGTCTAGAATTTATTATCATATAATGTGATTATTATTTTTTATATAAGTTATAGAAATAACATTCTTCTTGTTACTTTATGTAATGAAAATCATTGAGTTCTAAAAAAAATTCAAACATAGATAACACTTAACATGAGAATTAAAGACTTTCATTTTTAGTAAAGCTGATTTATTGAAAAACATAAGTAATTAATATTGTTGAGTGTTAATTTATTTATATTAACATAGAATATAAATAAAGAAATATAGAATATAAATATAGATTTCTTTTTTTTCATGTGAAAAAAGAAAAAATAATAATAATAATTCCTTTCTTGTCCGGTTGTGGGATGGATGTAAAGCAAATTCGCTCACAAATTTCTTGGCCACAACACAAGTTTTTTTTTTTTTGGTCAAAGTGGTGGTAGGAGCAGCTGATCAAATACTCCGCCGGCCGTCGGAGCTCGCGGACTAGGGTTCCTCCGGCTGCACATTCACCGCTTACCACCAGCAGCCTGTCTACATGAGCCATGGAGCTGAAGGCCCCACTGCTGCTAGCTTTACTCTGCCTCGCCTCTCGCCTTCATTATTCTTTCGCAGGTGCCTTTATCATCTCCTTTTCCCTATTGCAGAATTTTCCCAAGGAAAAGGGAGCTTTATGAGAAACTTTGATTACGTCCTTTTTCGTTATCTGTTTCAATCGCTGATTTTTTTTTTTTTTTTTTTTTTTTTTTTT